TCTCTCTCTCTCTCTACCGTTAAGTAACTTGTGCATTGTTTTACTTACTTGTTTTTGACATATCCGCCCGAACTACAAACTTTCAGTGATGTCTGTGAGAAAGATATATTCACTCGACAAGCTCGCGCATCTGCGCCGCCGCCGCGCACTCAATCCACTCAGCGTGCTTTGTTTATCAGCTCGCGCACATCAGCTATACAGACGTTAATATTGAATGTTTAACATTATATTCATTGCATACATATACTTCGTAGTAGACATCCTTAACTCCATTCTGCTGTCTGTTGTTCTGTTGTGGGTGTTTCTTTGTCTGAATATGGCGCTGATCACATGCTGTGTGGTATCGGCATTTGGTATCGGGGCATTTTAACGAGTACGAGTACAGGAGCTCAGTATCGGGTATCGGTATCGGTGCATCCCTAAAAAAAATGCTATAAAAAATCTAGAATATGGCCCGTTTGTTGACCTCTTTCTTGGTGCATCTAATGAAAATACACCAGTGAACACTAACAGCCGTGCACACGAGCTCATTTAGCCGATTGGAGTTTGTACCACTATTTCCTGTTTTGCGAATCTGACGGCATGTTTTGAAAGAGAAACGCCTATTAATAGAGGTGGCGTGTGCAGATGGCTGAGATTTCCCTCCCCGCCGCGCTGCGGGAAAAAACACAACAAGCCAGCACTGTAAAGACACTTGAGAGCTGTCATTCTTCACAACGAGCATATTTAGTCTCTTCTGCGCCTTTGAAGCGACTCCTTTCCCAAACGGGGTCTGACGGGCTGTGCGGAAACGTTTGTGAATCAGTGGCGCGTCATCGAATGTTTTACTGTTTAAATGAATTCATAAAAAGCACATGTTTTGCATTAAGAAGTTGTGTATTTGCTTACATGCAACAGCTCTCCTAGCTAAAGCCAGGATTGACTCTCATCTGATGTTTCAGACTGTTGGTTTACATCTAGATGAGAAATGTGGCGCTGTATTGGAGGGGTTGTGTGAGCAGCACGCCGTCAACATTATAATCCTGCGGCAAACGGCAGTCAGAGTTTGCCTCAGAAATGTTGAAATGTGTTTTCTTTGGCTTCTGCGCAGATCCTGGACGTGCGTAACGTGCTGGTGGTGGTCTCTCGGTGGTACGGCGGGATCCTGCTGGGCCCCGACCGCTTCAAACACATCAACAACTGCGCCAGGAACATCCTCATTCAGGAGGGTTACACCGACACTTCAGTAAGACCCAAGACTGTTTATGAATAATTCAGCTTAAAGGCTTGTGTCCTGTGTATTTCATGATGCTTGACAAATTTCTGCATTTCTTCTGATGTAGACAAAATGCTTATTTATTTAATTATAGGTTTTTGTATATTTAAATATGTATTACATGTATCTAAATATATCTTATTTATATGTATATTATTTGATAATTAAGTTTAGATACATACATAAATATTAAGTCCACAAAACATTATATTTATGTAAAATAAATATTACTTAAAATAATTAATTTTTAATTTTGCTGATGCGGACAGAATGCTTAGATTTGTGTATTCATTTAAATATATAATTTAAATCTCTATCCATTTATACATATATATATATATATATATATATAT